GGTTGTGGTCGGATGTAGTCGGGGTTGTGTTCTTGAAGTATACAGTACGCGCCGGGGCGCATGTCCTGATGGGTGCTGGGAACAAGTGGCATAGTATACGGGGCCACATGGGGTTGGTAGCCGTCGGCGAAGTCAGCTCGTAGTGCGTTGGCGTGGGTCGCCGGGGTGGGAACTGGTCAGGTCTTCCTCCTCGTATCGATCCTGTCCATTGGCTCAGTAGTTGGCATTCGTGATCTGTCGGATCATGTAGCTCTACTTACTCTGGTTGTGGAGGGTGGCGCAATGTGTCTACGCCGTTTCTCCAGTATGCATATAGACCAGGGTGGGCGTAGTGTTGATGCACTTGATGCGTGGAGGGCGTCTTCTAGGTAATTGATCAACGACAGTAGTTCTGAGCCTGTGCTGATGTTGCGTTGTGGATCGGTCATTGAGCTGAGGAAGGTGGCACTGTCGTCTTTGGTGAACTTGGTGCGCATGCCGTAGTTCTCGTCTATCTGGAACTCGCTTCGCTTGTCGCGTTGCTGGCGGCAGATCTAAAATAAGGCCACTTTGAGGATTTTTCGGCCCCGTCCACGTTGACGCGGGAGCATCTTAGTCGCACGTCGATCACGTTGTTGAGGTCATCCCATGATAGGTAAATCAGCGGGCGTCGGCGTACGTCATGGTCTGTACACTAATGTCGTTTTCGTCAGATGGCTGTTGGTCCTGTCGGTAGTCGGCCCTTCTGTAGTATGGGATGCTCGCTGGTCTCTGCGACCAGTGCGTTGAGATGTCGGAGTGCAATGAACATGTCTTCCACCTGTCTAGAGCCTGCTGATGCCGTTGATGCAGGAGTATGAAGCATTGTCAATTGATGTTGGGCAAGCAGGCGATCGTAATATGTGTGTCTCTCTCTTTGTACGTGTCCATCCTTTGGCCGCGGGTACTGGCGCGTACTCGCATCCCAAATTTAGGGAGATGTGTACGCTGTACTTGTCGATCCTTGCGTCGGTCGTGCCGTCTTGTTTGTTGGGTTCTACTTGTGCGAGCAGTACCTGCGCTGATGCTGGGTCGTATAGCGCGGGAGGGGCCGTGCGTAGCACCTCCTGTTGGTACTATTTGCGTCGTGTCTTGAGTAGTGGTGCTAGTTCGTCGTTGCCGTCGTCTTCGTATTGTTCTGAGGACTGTCGATTTTGCTGTTCAATGAGTATATGCTGCTCCCTGGTACGCCGGCCGTCGGACATCTCCGAGCATGCCATGTGAATGGAGAGGGATGGTAGGAAGACGCAGCGTGTAGAATTCGCCCACTGGCCAACACGCACAGCAAACGCGTCGTCTGCAGATGGTATGCAGGGCGCCTGTCGTGGGAGCATGGCGCGGATATGTAAGGCGATGGGAGCCGCAATCATTGTAATTGTTTATGGTGTGAGCCTGGCTGCTGCGGTACCTGCTGAGTCAAGTAAAGCAAGGGAAACAATGATGTACGTCTGGAAAGTTCTGTGGCCCCTACCTGAGGTATGCCTTTCGGCTCCCATCCCAGATAGGGGGGCAGGCATAGTATGGTTTCTAAGTACGATTTGTACCCCTACCTGAGGTACGCTTTTCGGCTCCAATGCCAGGTATGGGACAAGCACAGTAGAGTGTGTTCTAGTCGTGGGGGCTGACGTGGTTCTGGCGCTGCGTAGTGCGGTGTTGGACAGTGCTCGTAGGACAGACAGCTGATACACGAAGCCACAGCTGGATCCAAAAGAAGCCACGGAAGTGCAGGCCCTCGGCTCTGTGTTTCGGCAACGTAATCACAGCTACACAATAGTTAGTGGTATATCTCATATTGCCCGCGGAGTTGTAGATATTAGAAAACTTGCGCAGCACATGTCATACCCATGTGTAGGTCACAGGAAATCCAGGATGTTCCCAAGTAGGGTCATTCTTATGTGATACCGACTGTTGTAACGGTTCAGGCGCGTGAGAATGGTTGTCCGCATTGTCTGATGTCAGTAGGTATGCGAGACGCGCGTGTGTGAAGCCTCATGAGTAGCACAGCGTGGTCTTTCTGTCGTGATAGGAGTCACCGTGGTGGGCCAAAACCAGTAGGGTATGTAACATCAAGCAACGCATGTTCCCTTCATCGGAAACAGGTAGCTAGCATGGTGAACTGTGACTGGCAAGAACAATGTACACCGCACTCACATCTATACCCCTGGGTAGGTGTATGTGCGGCCGTTTTTGCGCTGTCATGTGCGCGCATGTGCGCGGCATGTGCCAGTCATGTGCCAGGCCTGTGCGGCCCTTCGTGGATGGACTTCCTACTGTGCACGTCGTGCCCGGGCATGTGCGGGGGCATGTGCGCTGTGTTTTGGTGTATCCATCATACGCACATGCACGCACAATCCGACGCACATGCGCGCACATGCCTGCACATGCGGGAGGTGTTCGAGAATCGCAGATCTGTCATCGGCACATGCACGCACATGCCTGTGCAACCTCTCTTCGGGAGGCCGCGCGGGCCCGCACATGCACGCACATGCGGTGAAGCGCGCGGGCGCACATGCGTGCACATCCCAATGCACATGCACGCTCATGCCCGAGGAGTTGTCTGAGACCCCTGTGCCTCCAACGCCTCCTGGCCATCGCAGAGCTAACCTGGGGCGCGCCAGGGCTTCCTGACAGAGTTTGCTGTGCGTTTAGACTCGCCCGCTGCTGGCGGGGGCGGTTCTTCGCCCGGTTCGTGAGCTGGCGGTGGCGTGCCCTCCTAGTGAAACACTCTCCCGCGCGCCTTCTCAACTCGGCCAGAGAAGCAGGGGTGTGGGGGGGAGGTGGAGGGGGGGGGAAGGAGGGGGGAGCAGAGGAGGCGGACGCCCCCGGCTCGGCCGGCCCGCCCGCCTGTTCGGCTCGGCCAGAGGAAAAGGAGGAGGAGGAGGAGGAGGAGGAGGAGGAGGAGGAGGAGGTGAGAGTAGCGAGGATGTCTCAGGCGAGAGTGGCTTGACGGCCCGAGCTCAGGGAATGTCGGAATCGCTGGCCTGGCTCGGCCATAGGCGAGCTCGGCCTGTGCGAATACTGTGCGTACCTGTGCGGGGCATGTGCGGGGCGTGCAAGAATGCCGGGGCCGGCGTTCGTCTCCGGGCGCCGGCGCGTTCGCGTCCGCGCGCAAACCGCGCGTGGACGCAGCGAGAGATCTCTTGCCCCATGCTGGTCAGGCCACTGTCGCCTGAGAGATCCTCGCAAGTCTCGATTCCGATATGCCCCGAGCTGAGGTGGTCAGCCACTGTCGCCTGAGACATCCTCGCAACCCTGATCTCAATGATGCCCTGCTCGATAGTGTCTCGGCCCCTTTCGCCTGAGACATCCTCAGAACTCTGGGTTCCGAGACGCCCTGAGCTGAGCTGAGGTGGTTAGACCATTCTCGCTTTAAACATCCTCGCCCGAGATGCCCTGAGTTGAGGTGTTCAGGCCACTTTCGCCTGAGACATCCTCGCAACTCTGACCTCAATGATGCCCTGCTCCATAGTGCCTCGGCCTTTTTCGCCTGAGACCCTCGCAACTCTGGGTTCCGAGATGCCCTGAGCAGGTTGTCAGGCCACTCCTGCCTGAGACATCCTCGCAACTCTGGGTTCCGAGACGCCCTGGGCTGAGGTGGTCAGACCACTCTCGCCAGAGACATCCTCGCAATTCTGACTTCAGAGATCTCTTGCCCCATGGTGGTCAGGCCATTTTCGCCTGAGACATCCTCACAACTCAGACCTCGGAGGCGTCCTGCCCCATGGTAGTCTGGTCACCTTGACCAGCGACATCCTCGCCACTCTGGTTTCCAAGATGCCCTGCCCCATGGTGGTCCGGCCACGCTTGCCTGAGACATCCTCGCATTTCTGGGTTGCGAAATGCCCCGAGCTCAGGTGGTCAGGCCACTATCGCCTGCGACATCTCTGCGGCCTGTGCGGGCATGTGCCTCTATGCTTTCAGAGTTTTGCTTGACCGTGCATTCGACTGTGCGTCGGACGGTGTGGCATGTGCGCGCATGTGCGGCAATGCTGTTGAGGCTTTTGTATATTTGCATGGGCATGTGCATGCGACTGTGCGGCATGTGCCTGCATGTGCGGCCCCTTCCGGACCACAATTTCAAAGTGAGCACTATAGAAGTGAGCGCTAATGTTGGTAAATTTGTCTTACCCTGTAAGATTATCCTTGTCACATGTTACCTTTGGCCCTAGCCCTGCCTCTCACCCAGGTATGCCCGTGTGGGCTCCCGTACAGGGTGCGAGGTTAGTCGCCGGTGCTTCTGTAGCTGCTGGTCGTAGTGTTGGTACTTGTTGTGTTTGCTGCGTAGCGTAGTACTGGACATTGCAAGTGCAATGGACTGCATAAGTGCCCACTGTGCCCCTGCCTGAGGTATGCCTTGCGGCTCCCATGCCAGGTATGGGGCAGGCACTGTCGAGTGTGTTCTAGTCGTGGAGGCAAACGTGGGTTTTGTGCTGCGCAGCGTGGTGCTAGACAGTGCTCGTAGGGCAGACAGCTGGTGTGCGAAGCCATGGTTGGAGCCAAAGTCCTCGTCCTCCTCCTCCTCCTCGTCCTTCTCCTCCTGTTCCTTCTCCTCCCTTTCCTCCTCATCATCATCATCATCCTCCCTCTTCCTCCTCTTGGTGCTTGAGCATGCCAGGGAAGACTATGAGTCTACCCAGTCCGTCATCCGTCGTGAGGCGTTGTACGAGTGGCTACTGTCGGATATACAAGGCGATCGGTAGCACGGAGTGATCGCAGCGCCCCTCTGCCTTCCCCTCTACCTCGTCATCTTCCCCGCCTTCCGCTTCTAGGCGCTACATCAGCATATAGTACCGAATTGTCTCATCCTAGTTCTCCTCCTCTGCCTCATCGTCCTCCTCATTAACTGTTTTCCGGCTCCCTTCATTAATTGGTCTTGATGGTTTTCCTCCTTCTCTTCCTCCTCCTCCTCTTACCTCTTCCTCCTCTTGGTGCTCGAGCATGCCAGGGGCGATGAGTCTACGCAGTCCGTCACCCGCCGTGAGGAGTTGTACGAGTGGCTACTGTCCTACAAAGCGATCGGCAGCACGGAGTGATCGCAGAGCCACCATGTGCCTTCCCCTCCTCCTCGTCATCTTCCCCGCCATCCGTTTCTAGACACTACATCACCATAGAATGCTGGAGTGCGTCATCCTACTCCTCCTTTGCTTCATCGTCCTCCTCATTCCTCTTTCCCGCCTGCCTTCACTAAATGGCCTTCCTGTTCCTCCTCATCCTTCTCCCCTTCCTCCTCCTCCTCTCCCTGCTATTCCTGCTCCTCCTCCTCCTCCTCCTCGTCCTCCTCCTCCTTGTTCTCCTGGGCTCCGCATGTATTCCTACGGCCTCGGGTTCAAGGTCGACCCGATGATTGTGTATTCTGGGCATGTCGTGTTTATATGGGCCACTGCGGTCTAGGAGTCTGTTCCGAATGTGCAGGTGTTGCCTAGCACCATGAAGCTTCCGCTTGACACGTTTCAGGATTCGAAGTACACGTGGAGAACGGCCTCGTATCCGAGTGATGTGGCGCTGCTGACGTTGCGCTGCTTCGGCCAGGTCTTCAAGAACCAGCATCATCTGATCAGCGACCTCGGAGTCGAGTATAATTTGCTGCAGCTCTCTCCGATGCCGATCAGGACCCTGGCTCGTCAAGGGGCGGTGCGGGTTTCTGACGTGCACTCTATATATATATATATATCTCTCTTTCTGCAGAATGGCCAGGATGGGCCGCCAGGGTGCCCTATCTTCTGGCACGGCATCGGCAGGATGTTCCGGGAGAAAACAGGGACGCGGGGCAAACATCATCAGCGGTGTCTTCGAGCGTTTGCTTCAGGAGCTCATCGGCCCCAAGCTCGTTTGTTCAGGCACAAGTTGCATGACGAGGAATTGCGCCAGCGGCGCCGTGGACAGCCAGGCACACTATTTCACTGACAGTACGAATGCTCAGTGCACGCTAAATTACGGCGGGATCAGGAAGGTCCTAGGCTGTGCGAAAAAGGCGAGGAAAGTCAAGGAGCGAGGCCCGCTGATGCCCGAATTCTTTGCCAGGTGCAGTTTCCCTCATCCCCGGGGGCTCTTCGAGTTCAGGAGCCTTCCCAGACGGCCCACTGGATCAACAAGCGCCAGGCTGTTGTGTTGTTTGGCCTCCTCGTCCTGGACGGGCCGGCCAGGCACATGGAATTGGATGGTCTATTGTTTGGGTGGACAGATTCGGGAGGCTGGTCCCGGCGGCGTACGGCATCGTTCCTCTGAGTGCGGCCCGCAGCAAACTAGTAAAGACGGGGAAGACGATGCTGTCTATATGTTCACGCAACTGGGCCTTCCCCTGTTTCAAGTGCATTTGGATTGCGAGGGCACTCTGGACGCCTTGGCCGGAGGGCCCAGTCACGCCGAGAGCCCTGGGGCTCCTAGGGTGCACTTGTAGGGGCCTTTGTGGGGCTCTTTTGCTCTCAGCCACTTCGAGTGCTTCAAGCAAACAGCGGCCAGAGCACGGCCTGGGAGCAGCGTGCCCAGAGTGAAGTTGACAGGCTCGCCAAGCCAGGAGCCGTTTTCCATGGTGTCACCGATGGCGACGTCAACCTCGTGCGGAGCCTGAGGAGCTTCGCCTGTGAAGTATGCAGGTGGGCTGACAGCTTCGAGATCGCTTTGTCTGCTGGTGGACCCCGACTTACCACGGGGCTTGGAGCCTCGCCAAAACCGGCGGCCGTGATCAACCTTCCAGGTGCAGCGGCTGGACGAGACCTCGCCAGCAGCCAGGCCTTGGCTGATGATTATAGGGATGGGCGCGGTGAGTCGGAGTTGGGAGAGGAGTGGATGCATTTCTCTCTGCGAGTTTTTCGGGCGAATGGCCATTCGTATTTGGCATGCTCGTTTTAGACCGCCTCGGCTCCCCGAACACCAAGATGCAGACTTGTTGTCGATGCGGGCCCTCTTTCTTTGGGGAGCGCCCAAGGTTGGCGCCAAACGGCCGTGCAGGTCCAAATCGTCTACGGGCGGAATTAATGACCAGCTGAGGAAAATTGGGCTAGGCAGGTCTCCGTCGTGGAAGAAGGATCTCAAAGAACTGACCCTGGGGGCCCACGAGGATCTGAACCTCGCTGAGCGTCGGACGTTGGCTCAGACGCTGGAGGAAGATGGTCGGGCCCCCCAGGATGCGCCGGGCCCTCTGCCTTTGACTTTCGCAGGTGGATACGCCTCGTGGGAGCCGATGTTGGACTCGTTCGGCCTCGACAAGGCCGACGCCCCTTAAGCGGAGGCCCGACGGGAAGCTTCGCTCCGAGCCTCGCGCGAAGGCTCTGGCGAGTCAGATTCGGAGGCCTCTGATTTCGAACGAGGCGAAGCCTAGCTCATGGCGTCAGGCTCGTCCCAAACAACCTCCTCCTCCTCCTCCTCCTCCTCCTCCTCCTCCTCCTCCTCCTCCTCCTCCTCCTCCTCCTCCTCCTCCTCGATTGCCCTCCACAACCGGTCGATGCAGCGCCTGCGCCGCGCCGCGAGCGTTGCCCCCTCGATGGGCTCGCCCCCATCGGACGGGCAATCCTTGCCCAGGGGGAGGGGTTAGGCTGGTTAAGCGTTCGAGGCGGCCGAACACCCCAGCACTCGCCCGCACGGGGGCGGCAACCGAAGGCCTGCGAGGAGGACGGAAAGGAGGAGAAGGAGGAGGAGTAGGAGGAGGAGGAGGAGGAGGAGGAGGCGGAAGGGGGGGAGGAAGAGGAGGAGGAGGAGGAGGAGGAGGAGGAGGAGGAGGAGGAGGAGGAGGAGGAGGAGGAGGAGGAGGAGGAGGAGGAGGAGGAGGAGGAGGAGGAGGAGGAGGAGGAGGAGGGGGAGGAGGAGGAGGAGGAGGAGGGGAGGAGGAGGGGGAGGAGGAGGAGGGGAGAAGGAGGAGGAAAAGGAGGAGAGGAGGAGGAGGAGGAGGAGAGGAGGAGGAGGAGGGGAGGAGGAGGAGGAGGAGGAGGAGGGGGAGGAGGAGGAGGAAAAGGAGGAGAGGAGGAGAGGAGGAGGAGAGGAGGAGGAGGAGGAGCCGTTGCTCGAAGCCGACCTGGTGCAGGCCGTACTCGGTCAGGGCTCAAATCCGACCAGCAGCGGGTCGAGGAAGGCCCCCCCCATTTTTTCATTGTTACAGCACGCTGCTTCCCTCCCAGCTACCGCCGTTCCCGAACCCCTGGGCGAGGGATGGCAGGCCATGGTGGTCTCGGGAGTCAGATTGAAGAAGAGCCACCGACCTTCCCCACGCAGGAGGGGGAGTCGATCATTCGGGACCTGGAGATCCCCAATCGCCCGACCGAGGTGCAGGAGAACGGCCGCCGAAGTCGGCCAGGCGCGATGATCCTACGGCTGCTGTTGATGAGCTTCGTGGGCACGTGGGTTCAGCCAGAACCGAGCCACTCGGAGCCGTCGCGAAGCTGCAAGAACAGGTGTTTCTTTTCGGAACCAATGTTGCTTCATCCTGCGACGCCTTGGCCAAGAACGTGGAGATGCGGCACGGTGCCCTCCCAGAGCGGATACACGCGACCGATGCGCGAGTCACCGCACTGCAAGCTCAAGTCGGCCGTCTTTCTGAACTGCTGCACTGCATCAAGCAGGAGGAGCCAGCCGCCACAATGGTGGACACGACCTTCGACAGGAACATCGTTCCATGCATTACCATCGCGCGCTGCAAGGCTGTGGTCACCAAGCAGAGCCTTCACGATGGGTTTCGAGACTGGCTACAGACAGCCCAGATTGGAGATGGAGATGTTCAGATGGATGGAGATCCAGCTGGACACAGATGTACCATACGTCTCAAGGAAAACGCGACCTACGCCTCCAGGAAGGTTGCACAAGCGCTCGGATATCTCAAGAAGGCGAACGGGCAGCGGCACAAGCAAGGACGTCGACGGCGCACCCCAAGAAGTGTTTGTCAGTTCGTATACAAGCCTTGCAAAAGTACGACGGGAGCTTGGCCTCAAGCAACTTCGACGCGTTCTGGAGCAGACTGGACCCAACAACCGCTACTCTTCGGACAAGATCAAAGGAGAGATATCGTGACAGTAGAAGCCGCTTGCGAAGATCACCCCCAAGCCTGGAGACGAACCGCAAGTCGTCCACTGGTGCGCGGAGAACATCAACGACCCCGGCTTGGACAACGAGAGGTTGGCTGAGGCTATCCAGCGCGCCGGGCAGCCAGCGGCCGCCCCGACGTGGTCTCTTTAACCCGCTCTTCCGCGCGTGGCGCGGCGAGAGGGGCGCAGGGTGGCCTCTTGTGCTCTCGACTTGGAACCCCCGTGCTCTCTTCCACCACTCCCCACCCCTTCGAGAATAGAAAGTTCGGCTTCTTCGAAGACTTCTCTCCCCTCCTGGTTCCATTGTCGCTGCGCAAGAGAGTCGCGGTAGTCTGCTGGAGGTGAGAGATCTAGCGTACCAGGCCAACCTACAGTATAACGCATATTGCTCCATCTGTTTAAGTTCCCAGGCTGGAGGGGCCGTTGCCTTCCATCCGCAATTTTGCCAATTTGGATCCGAGGGGCCCGAAGCTACTCATGAAGCACTGGCCCAAGGGCGGCCCATTGTCGTTCCCCTGGACTTCGGCGGTGCCCAGTTGATCCACTATAACACTCACAACTACAAGCTGAGCCTAAGCAACAAGCAGGGCATTGCAAATCGAATTCGCAGGGGCCTTGAGTTTGCTGAAGCAGATCCCACCTCCAGAGTTGCAGCTGCGGCAGGCGACTTTAACTTCGCGCGCCTGCCGCCGATGAAGAACCAGATGCCGAGCTCGATGAAGCCGCCCATCGAGTGCTACAAGAGTGGCGCGCACAACAAGACCCGACCTGGATGGGAGTTCGTAGGAAGATGGTTGAATTGGAGAACCCTGAGCCGACCCACCACTACGCCCCGAATCGGACGTTGAGTTCCGTCGATCGCCAGTTTGTTTCGATCCCCGGGTGGATGCGCACGCAACTCTCGATAGCCGGCAGGGGACTGGAGTTGCCCGAAGTCCTGAACGAGAAAAGGATCTCGGACCACTCGCCGTTCCAGGTCACGCTCTCCCCAGGCCAACGAATCCCGAAGGACGAACGTCCTG